GGTAGACCTAGATTAGATTACTGTTCGCAAATAGTTAAGGATGTGGGCTGTTCTAGTTTTAGGGAAATGCGAATATTAGCTCAGTATGGCGATTTGATAGTTTTTAAGAAGATAATTAATTTTTTAGAGTGAAGTATTGAGTGTGTGGTTGTATATATTTTTTGGTATGTATTATTGTGTAGGTAAATATTCTTTTCTTATAATTCTATTTCTAGACTTACTCTATTCTATACCTGCTCTATACCTATACTTCAGCTAAACGACTATTTAATTGCCTACGTACTTTCCTATCATCCCTTTTAACAATTCAACTCTGTATACTAACTGCATGACGTCTATAATCCTTACTTTTCCTAATTGCAGTTTTATGGTCAGTTTCTTCGGTGATTTGGGACAAACTTAACTTCTCAGTATTTCTTCTAAACTAAATTTCCAGATTTTACTAGTATCTTATTGGTTCCCTACTTTAATTAACTTATTTCTAACTCCTCCTTATCACCCTTCTTACAATCTCTTTTCAAAAACTAACATCAGTTCTGACTTATCCTTCCTAATTTCAACTTCACCATTCTACCGTCTTAATTCTAGTCTTCATTTTTCGTTCTTATTTTATTAACGTTTGTTATCGTTATTCCGCATTCTATTATTTACCACCTCCACAGATGATAATCATGATATATATGGTATTAATGCACTGTATCACTATAAAAGTCATGATAAAATTATTGTAAACATGATAGGAGTAGATTTTCTTTAAAACCTAAGTTGGGAATTGAAAAAGTCACAAATACAACGAATAGCAAAAATTATTTCTGTAACGTCGAAGAATTTTTTTAGGCATATTTGAACTCACGTTTGAAAATGTAGATTTCGGGAAGAAGGAGAAGGGTGTAGGAGTAAATGTTTCTTGTGTGCTAGAGCTCGTGATACTTGCGCGTGTGAAGACCATTTATACGAAATGTGCTTAATGTCTTGAAAATGAACCTTATTCTTTATTGTTCACTCTAGACATACATATAACAATAAAGTCGTAAAACAAACACGTCTTTCTGACGTTAAGTGTGCTACATAAGACATCATGTAATCATCATTATCTACAAAACCAAGAAAAATAACTTATGTTATTACAAGCTGGGTAAAATCTGTTACCTACGTGACAAAACACGTAACAAAAACACGTGTGATTAACTTAGGGTTAACCTCAAAATTCATCAACTTTTACGACACTGATTTTAAACAAGATTCTGTAATCTAAAGAGATTTAGAGTTTAAATGTTGTCTCTCATAATTAAAGTACTTCATTAATTTAAATATCCTCAAATTAAATTAGTTGCTCTGGTTATTTACTTTCGTGACAGTTCACATAGTGTATATCAAGCATTTCAAATGGGCGATCCGCCAATTCATAGATTTAGAAATATTAAATTACAGTAAAAGTTGCTTATTTACGGTTTCCTTATTCGCATTTTCATTATCCGCCCAGTTCCTGTATTCGCGGTTAAAAATTTCATTATTCGCGGTTGCAATCGGTAAACAGAAAAGGATTCGGTGTCATTTATTAAGGGGATTGAACGCAATAGACCGCTCGTGCCTAGCGTGAATTTTTCCGAAAACATGGGTTTCTATTCTAAACATTGTGATTTGACGCTGCGAGATAAATATCTAATTTTTTGTATGGTACCAGATAAAGGTTCACACTAACTAGGTACGTTTTTGGTTTCCAATAATATGGTCATTAAAAGCTTTTACAAGTGCTTAAAGTTGATGCTTCTTGTAGGACACGTATTTTCAATAGAAATTAAAAAATGCCCTTTGACAAGCTTTATATAAAAGCTTTATCTATCTTACTACAAAATTTCAAACCTCTGTTCAAAACATTAAACTCATGATATCCAGAACCGATAAACATGTTTTTACTCTATGGCGCGTGTACCACTGAATCCCCTTAATGTATCGGCATCTTTTGAGTAAACAAGGATTCGGTATTATTTTTTATCGTATCAGCATCTTTTGAGTACTATTAGCTTTAGACTTTATAAATGATGTAACCGTGTGGACTAATTTCAAAATTCAAAACAAAAAAAATCACTAAATTTTTTAAACTTGCTTAAGGCTGATTATAACGATTAATTTTAATTGCGAATTTATCAATAAATTGATTTTATTTTCATATATATTGGTTTTACTTTGGAACTTTAGAACGTATCCCCTATGATTCCATACTAATTACTACTCCATATCCACGGTTTCTGTATTCGCGGCATATTTATGGAACGTATACCCCGCGAATAAAGAGCTTTTACTGTATATATAGTTTCAATTCAGTTAAACATTGGGTATTATGCCTATTGGCAAAATTACTATTTGAATAATTCGGAGTGTGTCCATTTCATTTTTTTGGGTAAAGGTATATGCTTTTGATTAAGATTTTCTGTAGAATTGTCTACTAAATTGGTTGTTGTAGTTTCTTCATTATTACTATTGCTATTATTATTGTTTTATTAAGTTATTTATTAAGTATATGTAAAGGTATATTTTTTGCGTTGTCATAAACATTTAGTTTTCTCCGTGTGGTTAGTAAGGAACGACGGGTTGATGCCAAAAAAAAAAACTCACTTACACTTCCTTTTTTTAATGCATTACATAAACCAATTTGTTGTTATCAGCACGTTTTGCGGTACTTATATATTAACGCCACCGCAGAAAAAATTCCACCAATGCGCCAACAATTTTGTTGTTCGCACACAACATCCCTGTTTTTTGCACACAGAAACCTTGTTCGTACGCGCACGAAATTATGTTTTGGTTTCCTTGTTGTCTGCTGATTTTTGACCCCATTTTTTAGTGCTACAGCCAGTGCCAAAAACTGAACAAGATACAATTTTATTTTATCAAGAGCGAAATATTTTACCTAAAAAACGAAAATGAACCAATTCCCATGACATGAAACATGAAATGTAATTTAAGACAGTGTGATCAGCAAGTGGGACTTAGAGAAGAAAACTGATTTGAGATAAGCAGAATTCCATTTTGTTCTGCTTTGAAATCATATACTGCTGGTGCGAGGAGTTGACGTCGATTAAATTTTGTGGAAAGCAACTTGATTTATCGGATAAAACTGTTATAGATTGTAATAACTACATGCGTGAATTATGTGTCTTGGATATGGAGAATAAACCAAACAAGAAAGTTGGTGGATCAGATTGCGTTGTCGAAATTGATGAAAGTTTGTTTACTGAACATAAAAAAATAATGTGGTCGAATATTACCCGAACAGTGGGCATTTGGTGGTATTTGCAGAAAAACAAAAGATTCGTTTTTTTGTCACTGTTCCTACAATACAACTGGCTCTATTCTTCTTGGTAAAATTATTGTAAACATTGCAGATGGTACCACAATTTATTCTGATAGTTGGAAAAGTTACCAAACAAAGAAAACAGAAATAGAAGAATTTCTACATGCTGAAGTTAATCATAAATTCAATTTTATTGATCATGATACAGGAGTTCATACACAAATAGTTAAGAGAATGTGTGGCAGTGCTAAATCGAGTAACAAGAGACATAGGGGGACAGCGAGACATCATTTGATTTTTATTTATCAGAGTACATTTTCCACCAAAATTGACGATTGACTACTTTTTATAAATAAAATGTCTTCAATTTTGAAAGTGTTTTGACTTTACATAAAGTTTTTTATTCTACTATTTGTCGCAACAATTTAACGTGTAAATTGGTGCATCAACGGAATTTTTGCTGCGGTGCCGTTTTTGTTCTACAATATGAACGTAGATTAGGAACCTGTTCTCCCTCATACATACTGTTAAGTACCCTTTTCGTCTACAATATGAACGTAGATTAGGAACCTGTTCTCCCTCATACATATTGTTAAGTACCCTTTTTGTTCTACAATATGAACGTAGATTAGGAATCTGTTCTCCCTCATACATATTGTTAAGTACCCTTTTTGTTCTACAATATGAAAGTAGATTAGGAACCTGTTCTCCCTCATACATATTGTTCTGTACCCTTTTTGTTCTATAATATGAACGTAGATTAGGAACCTGTTCTCCCTCATACATATTGTTCTGTACCCTTTTTGTTCTATAATATGAACGTAGATTAGGAACCTGTTCTCCCTCATACATATTGTTCTGTACCCTTTTTGTTCTATAATATGAACGTAGATTAGGAACCTGTTCTCCCTCATACATATTGTTCTGTACCCTTTTTGTTCTATAATATGAACGTAGATTAGGAACCTGTTCTCCCTCATACATATTGTTCTGTACCCTTTTTGTTCTATAATATGAACGTAGATTAGGAACCTGTTCTCCCTCATACATATTGTTCTGTACCCTTTTTGTTCTATAATATGAACGTAGATTAGGAACCTGTTCTCCCTCATACATATTGTTCTGTACCCTTTTTGTTCTATAATATGAACGTAGATTAGGAACCTGTTCTCCCTCATACATATTGTTCTGTACCCTTTTTGTTCTATAATATGAACGTAGATTAGGAACCTGTTCTCCCTCATACATATTGTTCTGTACCCTTTTTGTTCTATAATATGAACCTAGATTAGGTACCTGTTCTCCCTCATACATATTGTTAACGTCAATTAGATATTCCTCTTCCAATTTAACCTATTGTGTTAAATTTGCCCCCATTTTTTATGTTACACTTTCAGAAACGTAAACATGCAATTACAACAGAACAAAGCATTAAAAGCGACATGAAGCATCTTAATTAAGACTCTCGATGGCCAGTACCCAAACATAAACAGATTTTAAGACAAATCCCGATTATTTATATACTTGTTTACCAGTCCCAATTTGTTATTTACTCTCTTTTAGCGCCTTTGCTGTATATAAATTGATTGAATCATTCTCTTGCCACCACGCATACGAACATTCCGTCCCTCCTTTAACAGTGCCAGAGCCTGCGTAAGGGTGAAGTTCTCACGTTGCCAACGGTATAAAAGCGATTGTAAACAATCATATCGCAACTTCACGTTTTGCGCTCTCGCGAATGAAAACAAATCATAGAAAATTTAAAGTGTGGTAAATCTATGGCAACTAACAACTCAATCATGCTAATTCAAATACCGAGGAATTCGTTAAATAACAGTGCCGACTTGTCGCTATCGGCGTCTCCTTCGCAGGAGTTACGCGGTTTGAAGTTGTTTCGTGTGATAAGCAAGAAACTCGCACGGAAGTCGCAAGAAGATTTGAACAATGAAGACACCGATAGCAGATGTTCGTCTTCAGACTCTTGTTCCTCCACGTCAACCGAAAGGACGTCTAGATCAGCAAAGAAATTGGAAAATTATACAACACCGAACGAGAACGGCCTGTTGCAATCTTCGAGACACAAACACTCCGTATCGATGGAAAACTTTAAAAAGATGTTTGAAGGACTTTCCATCGACACCAGCCGGTCACAGAGTTGCAGCAGGAGCAAACAGAAGAGGAAAAGTTCGAAGAAATCGTCGCCGAAGAAAATACTCCGGTCTCCAGTAACTTACACGTACGTTAAGGGATTATCCGGCTTGCCGACGCAGAGGATCCCCAGGTCTGAAGTTAGGATTTACACGAACGGCAGCTGTAGGTGCAGCATGCAATGCATTAAAAGTTTGAACCGATGAAATTGTTAACAATAACTCTTTCAATGATGTGTGATGTATGATAAGACTGGTTGTATATAACTTATATTTCTTCTTGCATTGTAAGTACAGATTACATTTTCCACGAATTTAAGAAAGAACATAAAATAGGAATGATTTTTGTTCCTATTTTATGTATGAATAAAAAGAACTGTCTGTCTCCCTTTGGACACAAATATTCAAATCAAAACATATTTATAGTTTTCAATCATATCGTACTATAGTATAGATAAAGTAGTTACACTATTATACTTGAATAACCCATTTTTACTTATTACTTCTCGTGATATATTTATTAATGGAGCACCTAATATTGTATGGATTAGGGAAAACTGCACACACAGTAAAAAATTGATCTACCTGACATAAAGTCAGACATACAACAAATTACTATGTAATATCCGTTTATAGTGCCTTTGTAGAATAATTTACATTTAATAAAATATTATAAAATACTTTATTATGTTTCTTTTACAATGCTATATACATA